TCATATATATATATATATATATATATATATATATATATATATATATATATATATATATATATATATATATATATTAATGTATGTATGCATATGTGTATGTATATATATTATATATACTCTGGTTTACACAAATACATTATTTACATGTGTTGGACATGCTTACTTATGTCTGTTACGTACGTTATACTGCAGATTAGCTTTTTTTGTTTTACAGAATTCAATATAATAACCAGGAAGGCATTCTCTTATTGAAGCAACTTTTTTCACTGACGTTTCCTATTGTGGTGTTTCTTCGTGGGATCTCATTGAATCACTAGGTATATGTTTATTGGAAAACACGAGAAGTTTCTATATTTGTTCAAAATTTGTTTACAGAAATCTTTTTTTTGATAATAGTCACCGTAAATAAGATGTTCACATATAAAATAAATTAGTTTTGTTACTTTTTATCAACCAAACTTTCAGCTTCTTCATATATCCATGAAAAGTATTTTACCCTTCTACTACTACCCGTAAAGTGTGCATTCCAGAGGTTCACTGTCGGTCTGAATATTTGTTTCAATCTATTATAATATTAGTGCAGCTGGGACGTCCGGATGTCTTTGGAGTTAGCAATAATGTGAAAATGAGCAAAAAGTATTCCTACTTTGAATGTGCATACAAATGGAAGAGTATATATTGGTTACTAAAATAAAGTTCTGAATAAAGACATTGTGATGATAACGTTGAACTTTGACTTCAGAATAATCCTCAGAAAACAGACAGGATCTTCAGTACATATTTGTACACTAGTTGATCAGCATCTTTTGCCCTGGGGAAATAAATGCGATATGAGTTTCACGGAATAAAGATATTCTGCTTTAATTCAAATGTAATACATAATAGGTTTTCTTTTAGAGCACTGTCAGTGAATTTTTAGGATCCAATTTTATTTTCAAACAAGTATAAGAAGATATATAGTGTTTCAGAATATATTTTCTCACTATTTCTTCCTTCATATCTCTATGTGAAAGAATCTCAGCAATTTTATTTTCTTCATTTATCTTAATTATTCTAGATAATATGAAGTCTTCTCTGAACAGCACAGAATTAACTGAATTTCCAAGAATCTCTGCCCAAGTTGCTCCTTTACTATATGCAATGGCCGGAAATAGTAACGACACCATGACTCATTGGCGATTACCACATCCATCTTGGGAGGATCAGTAATATTATCTCATTTTAGCTCACCTTTGCAATATGCAGCTTGGATACACGAGTCAAGATCCTAATAGAATTTTGATTAACATGCTTTGACAATTCTTTGAAAGTCAAATTAACATACTCCTAGATTGTTCTTTCACACAGATTGATTTTATAACCATTTAGGGATTTATGCAATTACCATATGATGGTAAAAAGGAGCTATATTATACTATTTTATCAGGATTATTATCCTTACATATATGGGGCAAGCGTGAGAAATGCTACCTAGCTACGTGTTGCATCTATAACGCTAAGGATATGCACGGACTTGATAAATTAATCTTACCAAAATTCCTCATAACAGTGGCCTGCTAATCACTTTTATCAACTGTCGTTTTTAAAACAAAAACAAGATGAAAATCGAAACTCACCACACAAAGTCCAAGTGTGTGAACATTGGATCCGCCACAACCTGGTGGTACACAACATTTGGAAGCTCATGGCGCAGTTGCTCGACATCCTGGAGAGAAATTTGGACATAAAATCACTTTGATACACAGATAAAATAATATTTGAGTGATTCCCATCGTGAGAATTAGTACATAACAAAGTAAAATCAGAGAATAGTTCACAACATTGCTTTTCACCATTATTAATATGCATGACTTGATCATCAGTTCACATCTATTTTAGACATCTGTGATTACCTTGGGTGCTGCAAGCCAGTCATTTTCCGAGGAGAAGAGCGCTACAGGAACTTCAACTTTGCTAAGGTTGTACTTAGGGGGATATTTCGAATTATACTTTTCTAAGTTGAGGTTCTCGCCATAATCGTATTTCTGAAAGTTACCTAAATCAATAGCAATGTGTTATTGAAGTTGCCTCTAACTAGATCGTGAAAATATAAAACACAAAAAATGCCAAATGATTATAAACTTTGTAGTATAAAAATGTTATGATACAACACAATAATATGCCCAATGTTATTATATTTAGATTCTAAAAAAGTGTGAATAGTCTCCCCCCTCACCCCCCTCTCTCTCTCATTTTAGGTATTTTTGTACTTAAATTGAAGGACATGGCCCTGAGATTCAATGTTTGTGATACAAGCCTGCATGTCCAGACCTTAGTCCTAGAGTGAGTACGGGTCGTCTAGTACCTTGGGGTATGGATAGACCTAAACTCACTCTTCGAGAAGGGAGGCAGTATCTAAAGAGACCAAGTAGGAACTGGACTGAAGATCCTAAGATCGTCTTCATGTCCATGTGTTTCGACTTAACATGGACTATGCTTCTGTATTATGACCAGTCTCTGAGACAGGCTTCAGTTAATCCAGAATGAGCATTCTGAGTGTCCTCAGGTGAGTGTAAGGACGTTTACCTTCTAATAGATGTTGAAATTAACCTGAGGCTATGAGTCTTGGCAAAGATCATGCTAGGAGACACATCCTGGAGGGAAAGTATTGAGAAACCTCAAAATTTGTGAACTCCTCATATGTTTTCAGTTTAAGGATCAATTACGATTTTAGGGCATGGACTTGCCGGAGACAAAATACCATCCCTTTTCTATGGAGGAATGAAAGAGATACCAATCAGACGCTGTTGTCATCCTGTTAAACAAAGAATTCCAGATCAGTCGTAAACAGTTTGCATCACGGCATGCTAATGACAACGCCCAGCTACTGAAAACCATGTTCTCCACAGACCATACGAGTTTAAGTCCCCTTCCCCAATGGCAGTTCCGGGAATGAGACTACTGACGGACAGACTGGAAGAGAGATGTGGAAGAGAGAAACCTTTGTCCAAGTCGTAATCTGCCAAACTGTAAAAACACCATTAGTTGAATAGGCCGATGTACTATAGCATCACAAGAGGCAGCGAGAGCTTCCCCCAAGCTCAAGAGGTACATGGACCACTGGCTCTCTTTAGGATAATTTCTAGAGGCTGTCATGGACAAGGCTGGGTTTAATGATTGTCAGAATTTCAGTAAACCAGATACCACTACTGTTGCACTATTTATATGTGTGCGAGCAAACACACCTGTGACGACCTCCGCCGGACTGGTGAATAAACTTGTGCCTGTCACTAAATCCGTAGAGCTTGGAGCATTACAATTATGTTCAGGTGAGTCAGCTCTAAATAACGGAAATAGGCCTAAATAGCTCTCAAGAACTGAGTGAGTCTTATCTAGAAACTTAGGTCAACCTTTATCATAATATCATTTTGTTTCGGCTTCAAATACCTCTCCTTTATTCTTCTACTTCACAGCGTTTCAAATATCTTAATGCGAAATTAGCAGTCTCTCCTGTATATATCCCTATTTCAGCTGCACAATTATTGAGCAAAATCATTTAAGCAACACATAAAATTCCTCGATTTCCAAGGGTGTACTACAGAGATATCAACGGAACTGGCTAACTGATAAAGGAAGTGTTGGAGATCGACTCCTTTGGTTCTCCTATTAAGTTCTGATTGATTTAGCATGTTTATAACGTTCTAAAGCCACTGATTTCACAGCGATACACCATTACAAAATAGATTTTAAAAACTTCAATAAGTACAGCAGTGCATGTATTCCAGTAAAAAAAAAACCATCCTAGCTAGAACACACACAGCACACACTAAAAGAAAATGTTGACAAGACAAAGATTCAATGCGCCAAGGTCTAGTGATATGGGAATAGGTTTCCCTACGAGTAATGATGTGAGAGCGTTTAAGCCTTACTGGACAGACCACAAGTTTAAGTTTAAAATGCAGTCATATATGTGCATGCATCACATGTACTAGACTGATTATGTGCATGTATCATCTATACTAGACTGATTAAAATAACTTGTAATCCCCAAGTAAACACACTGACCTGATATCATCTCCTGAAAGTAATGCGTGACCGTCCATATAGAGGTTCCAGCTGGGGTGTTACTTAGTAAAACAGGTAGAAATTCCTAGAAAAAAAACGTAATCATAGAGGTTAGAAAACTGGAGATGGGTCACTATTTAGTCACGTCTAAATATTTCCTTTGCCCCTTCCTCTTAGCTAACCTATACCTAATTTGCAAATATAAAATCAAAATTATCAAATTAATATTTCTACATCGGCTTGGAAGCATCAGAAACAAAATCTAATAAAACACCAAAGGTCTATTTAGCCAACTGTGTATCTTATTTTTTTCCCTTATGCAATTTTCAAATCACCATGACATACATATAATGACCAAACCTCATTTAGCTGTTCCCGATTAGCTCCAGTCATTTTGAAGAGAATGTTCCGGCACAAGGCTGAGGTAAACAATCGTTCGTCACAGGCAAAAGACAGAATCTTGTCCATCAGGAAGCCAAACGACAGAAACTCGTATTTTCCGAAGAACTTTGCCAGCGACTGGAGAGAGAGCGAATTAGGAGGGAATTGCTCGTGAAAATCAGCTGACAGATGTTCTCATATACAGTATATGTACAATGGATATATAAGTGTTTATAAATGCACGCCCGCACGCACACACATACACAGACACATGAGTGTATGCGCAATTATACACACACACACACATATATATACATATATAATCATATATATGTGTATATATATATATATATATATATATATATATATATATATATATATATATATATATAGTGTAGTGTATAGTGTGTGTGTGTGTGTGTGTGTGTGTGTGTGTGTGTGTGTGTGTGTGTGTGTGTGTATGTACCAACCTCTATCATGGCGACTCGCGGCGACGCCCGAGCCAAGGGTCCTTTTGCGTTGCCAACGTAGGCGACCGGTCCCAGTCCCACCATGAAGCGAACCTGTGAGGTCGGTGGCTCAGTAATATTATGAAATATCGGTACTGTTCACTGACATTCATTTAAAAGAATGTCCATATACATGTATTAGCTTGTGGTTTTGTTGTGAAAGGCTTCATGAAATTCCTGACGCCAACTTGATCGCAATAGAATCATTACTCTTTTTCCTGTATAGCCAGGGCACTAAAAAAAACTCCTTATACCTTCTTACCTTCTGATTGTATTCAGGCCTGTCATTCATCATTGCCCAGAAAATGGTAGTTCCCATGCTGAAACCTACGTAATACAGATCTTCTGCCTGCGTCTTGCTTAATATGTAATCGATAAAGGCAGGCAGGTCGTAATATCCCATCTCGGCCCAGCTGTAGAGGAGTTAGAAATTAGATTGGCTTGTGGTGACGTACTAAAATGAGGTAGTTTCTAATGTTATGTATGGCTGTTTTACACACACACACATATATATGTATCCACGACTGTATAATCGAAGTTGAAATCCTCTGACGTATACCTAAACTGCCAAAACTCCTTCTGGCGAGGTGAAAGGGAGACATGATTCTTAGAATAGGTGTTTCCTCGCACGTTGCCCATCCATACATCGTACCCAGAATCAGCCAATAAGTAAGCTGAAACAGAAACAGGTGAGTATTTCCATCTGAAACCTGTACATTTTATCCTATAATAATTGCATTAGATAACAAACCTTCAACCTCGCGAATAATGAGGGAATTTCATTTACCAAGAGCCTTATCGGGAGTGTTCATGACGAACTCTGCCGAGGAACAGAGCAGACAGTGCTGAAGCAGTATGGGAGGTCTGGGACGCGTGCTGTTCTGGGCCTCCTTAATGCCGTGCGGGATTCGGTGTAGCTCCAATATGTATCCGTCATCTGTGGTAACCAGGTGGACCTCCGCGGGATACCCATAGTACGCAATAATCTGTGGCTATAAGTGGATTTTTTAAAATTCACTTGCTAACAGTCACTTGGATAAGTTTAGGCTGAAATGGAAATCATAAAACAACATGTTTATTTAAGATAGTTATCATCGAGACTTACATTTTTGAAATTCCGTGATTTATGTTAATAATTTGTACATTTTCATACACATATTTTTTGGGGGAATATTGTTTTATATCTAGCAAAGAGAAACGGTAAAAAAAGCCTGACAAAAAGAACCATACACCAAAGATTTGCCATATAGAATAAGACAACATAAGACATAATTCAAAAAATTCACTGACAACCGTCTCTTCCCCGAAAACTCGAAAATCTCCTCAAGCCCACACCACCTACGGTACGAACGCTGGAAAGACATACCGTCGATTTATTCACCAGCGGATGCGGCGAGGTGCCCAAGCTAGCCGCTGTCAACGACAGCAAGATCAGTCCGGCCAAGTTTGTCATTCCTAAATCTGGAAAAAAGTAGACACTGAACGATAAAAAGAAATAGAAGAAGAAATAGAAGGAGAAAAAGAGGGGAAAAAGGCAGATATGTGGTACGCATCAGAAAACTAACTGCATTAGTAGACGCAATCGGTTTGTGTGTGTGTGGTATTTATGTGTGGTGTGTATGTGTGGCGTGTGTGTGTGTGTGTGTGTGTGTGCGTGTGCGTGCGTGTGCGTGTGCATGTGTGTGTTTGTGTGTGTGTGTGTGTGCGTGTGGTGTATGTGTGTGCGTGTGTGTGTGCGTGCGCGTGCGAGTGTGTTTATACATACATATACACATACACATGATATATGTATGTATGTATATGTATGTGTATATAGGCATATGTATGTATATGTATGCATGTATGTATGTATGTATATATATATATATATATATATATATATATATATATATATATATATATATATATATATATATATATAAACACACACACACACAAAAAAAAAAAAAAAAAAAAAAAAAAAAAATATATATATATATATATATGTATATATATATATATATATATATATATATATATATATATATATATATATATATATATATATATATATATATATACATATACAGTACGCACGCACATATGTACATATACAGTACGCACGCACATATATACATATACAGTACGCACGCACATATATACACATACACATACACCTTATTACATACATGTATATATATATATATATATATATATATATATATATATATATATATATATATATATATATATATATATATATATATATAATTACATATACATATATATTATATATATATATATTTAGATACATATTTATATCCCTATATATATTATATATATATACACATTAATATATATATATATATACATATATATATATATATATATATATATATATATATATATATATATATATATATATATAATATTATACATTTATATATATACACATGCATACATACATATAAATACATATAGATAGATAGACACAGAGAGAGAGAGAGAGAGAATAGATAGGTAAATAGGTAACACCTTAATAGGTCGCATGAACGCCCTTCATATTAGAAAAATATCTGTTATAACG